TGAAACCAATCATTGGGTATATTCACTGACATCAGGGTTATAACAGAAAATACAACCTCCAGCACTAGCTGGTTTGGCTCAGTGGAGCGTCAGCCAGTCCCGGGTTCAATTCCAGTCAAGGGCACTTACCTTGATTATAGGCTCCTCCCCAGTCCAGATCTTGGTCCTGGTCAAGACGCGTACAGGAGGCAACCAATTGATGTGTTTCTCTCCCACTGCTATTTTTTTTTTTAAGTTTTTTTTTTTGTGTGTGTGTGTGTGTTTAATACATTTTATTGATTTTTTACAGAGAGAAAGGAAGAGGGGTAGAGAGCTAGAAACATCAATGAGAAACATCAATCGGCTGCCTACTGGGGATGTGCCCGCAATCAAGGTACATGCCCTTGACTGGAATTGAACCTGGGACCTTTCAGTCCGCAGGCTGACACTCTATCCACTGAGCCAAACCAGTTTCAGCTCACATTGGTATTTCTCTCTTTACCTCTTTCTTCCACTCTCTAAAATCAATGGGAAAATATTGAATGAGGATTTATAAAATTAAATTTAAAAAATGAAAAAAGGGCTAGGGGAGGAGAAAGGAGAGATGAGATAAAGTGAAAGGAAGATGCGTTTAGCCCAACCAGCGTGGCTGAGTAGTTGACCCAAGAACCAAGTGCTCACCAGTCTGATTCCTGATCAGGACACTGGGTTTCCAGCTTGATACCCTGTAAAGGGCATGCCCATCGATGATGTTTCTCTCTCATCAATGTTTCTATATCTCTTTCTTCCTCTCTAAAGTTCAATTAAAAAACCAGTATCCTATATAATAAAGAAGTGATATGCAAATTGGCCCTCGCCCTCATCACAAGATGGCCACCACAAGATGGTTGCCCCCATGTTGTCACAACATGGCCAGCAGGGGAGGGCAGTTGGGGTGACCAAGCCTGCAGGTGAGGGCAGTTAGGGGTGATTGGGTCAGCAGGGAAGCAGTTAGGTGTCAATCAGGCCAGCAGGGGAGTGGTTAGGTTGCTATCAGACCGGCAGGCAGAGCAGTTAGGGGCAATCAGGCAGCCAGGCAGGGGTGTGGTTAGGAGCCAGCAGTCCCAGATTGTGAGAGGGATGTCTGACTGCTGATTTAGGGATTGGGCTTAAACCAGCAGTCAGACATCCCCTGAGGGGGCCTAGATTGGACAGGGTGCAGGCTGGGCTGAGGGACACCCTCCAGTACACAAATTTCATGCACCAAGCCTTTAGTAATTAAATAAAAGCACACTGAAAAACGTTTAAAGTAAAGTATGATATACCTACCTAAAAATCCCACTATCACCCTAACTTAGGGGTGTCGAACTCAATCAGAGAAGGGGCCAAAATCTAAAATCCAGCCTAAATCGCGGGCCGAATGGTTTACTGAACAGTCATAAACTGTCATTGTGATGGAAACGCAGCGGAGTGCAGTGATGACAGCGCGGTGCGGGCCACATTGCAAGGCCTGGCGGGACGGATTTGGCCCCGCAGGCCTTGTGTTTGACACATGTGCCCTAACTGGTTTGGCTCAATGGATAGAGCCAAATTGCTGGTCTGACTGACACCTAACTGCTTTATTTGGACTGAAAGGTCTGGCCTGCGGACTGAAAGTCCCAGGTTCGATTCCAGTCAATGGCATGTACCTTGGTTGCGGGCACATCCCCAATAGGAGGTGTGCAGGAGGCAGCTGATAGATGTTTCTCTCATTGATGTTTCTAACTCTTCCTCTCCCTTCCTCTCTGTAAAAAAAAATGAAAATATATGGGGGGGGGGGGAACCTGTCAATGTATAATACAGCTTAATATATTTTTACAAACTGCAAATCTTGTTACTAGGATTAAGAAATGGAATGTTACCCTCACCCCAGAAGCTCACTTGTCCTCTCCAATCACAACACTCCACTCACCCTCAAAAGAACAATTAGGCCCTGAGCATCGACTATGAAACAGGTGGTCACAGTTCAATCCCAATTGGGGTACATGCATGGATTGTGGGCTTGATCCCACGTGTGGGGCATGCAGGAGGCAGCCAACTGGTGATTCTTTCTCATCATTGATGTTTCTATCTCTCCCTCTCCCTTACTCTCTGAAATCAACAAAAATATATTAAAAGCTTTTGTTTGCTTTGCTGAGGACATTTGCAAGTAACTTCCTGAAAAAGAGGGTGTGTATGGGAGCCATGAGAAATACACTTCAATCACAAGTCTTGCCTCAAGATGTTGCCATAGAGCACATATGTGTCAAACACAAGGCCCGTGGGCCAAATCCGTCCCGCCAGGCCTTGCAATGTGGCCCGCACCGCGCTGTCATCACTGCACTCCGCTGCGTTTCCATCACAATGACAGTTTATGACTGTTCAGTAAACCATTCGGCCCGCGATTTAGGCTGGATTTTAGATTTTGGCCCCTTCTCTGATTGAGTTTGACACCCCTACCATAGAGTATTAGAAACAGAAAAATGACCTTGAGACTGGAGACAGAATAAACTGGTGGTGATGCTTGGGTGTGACATATTTATGACCCCAAGGACCACTGGGATTATGTTGTCATTAAGACTTTCCCCTTCATCAGTCCATTCACCTGCCTAATCTTCAGCTATAGTCACGTTATATTATGATCATTACCATTTCCCTTTATTACACAAATGAAAAAAAAATGCTATTGGAACATGCTCAAACTAGTAAAATTATTAAAGACCTCCCACAATTCTACCATCTAGAGATGACTGACTGCAGTAAATCTCTTGGGAGGTATACCAATCCCAGGAAGTGAATGACTGAGAATATATAAACATCATTAAAACATATGGGCCTCCTCTCCCACCCATGCTCTCTATTAATTCACTTGTAGAACATTTTACATTTTACCATGGTAATTTGTTCAATAGCTATAAATTATATATATATGTGTGTATACACACACACACACACACACACACACACACACATATATGTTGGTTTTTTTTTAAGACAACCACTAGCCCGACTTTTAACAGATTTTGCCAAGTTTTGTCTATTATATAAGGGAATCATTAAGTATGTATATTTAGTTTCTCACATTATGTCAGTGATATTCATCCACATTGTTTACTCATGTTCACTGTAGATATATATTCTATTATTGATGGGACTGTGGGTAGTTCGCACTATTTGTCTATTACAAATAATGCTGTTAGGAATATACAAAATCTAGTCTATGTCTTTTGCTAGGAATAGAATTTCTTAGTCATAAGAGATATATTTAACAGCAATTTTCCATAGTGATTGACTCAATAGACGCTTCCAGCAGACAAGTGTGCCAGTTGCTTTACATGTTTGGAGCATAATGATTTTGTTTTGTTCCAGTGCCTAGAACAGTGCCATCCTTAAACAGTAGGTACAACAAGTTTCCAATTCTGTTGAATGAATGTGAACATAGATGGCATTTAAAGCTATAGGCTTCAATGAGATTGTCTTGGAAGAAGTATGATTAGATAAGGCTGATGAATAAGCCTTGGGTGACTCCTTAGAGAACTGGCAAGTAGAGGAAGAAAATGGGAGAGCGTGAAATTCTACAAACCAAGAGAAATGTGTTCCAAGGGGGCACAGACAACCGCTTTGAATGCCGTGAAGAGATGGTTAAGATACAGTGCGGAAAATGTCAGGAGTTCTGTTTTTGGTCATTTCAAGCCTTAAGAATTTAAGCATTAAATCATTCAAGTGGAGACCTTAAATGGGCAACAGACTATAGGAATTTAGAGTTTAGAACCTGATATGTAAGTCTGGTATTTATGAATGTAAATTTGTGAGATAGTGTAAATGGAAGAGATGGGGACCCAGCCTTGATGTATGATGCATTTCCTCTTACAAGCTGAACAGAAGTAAACACCTGCAAAGCAGTGTTAAGTGTCTGATAAGGTAGGAAAGAAGTCTGAAAGTATTTTGTCACTGAGATAATGACATCAATTGTGTGAAATGTTGGTGAGTTTTAACAAAACGAGAACAGGAAAATAATCTCTCGGATTTAACTACTAATAACTACTCTAGTCAATACTCTTCTATAACATTACTTTGAGTGGCTGCAAACAATCCCATTGTATGGCTGTACCAAAATTTGCTCACCTAGTCCCACTATTGAATCCTTCGATTCCTCCCATATCTTTAGAATCATAAGTAGAGTTCTCTAGAGCATGTTTTAAGAGTTGGAATTCTAGATCAAGAAATTATAAACCTTTTATTTTTAATATTTTTTTATTAATTTCAGAGAGGAAGAGGAAGAGACAGAAACATGGATGAGATAGAATCATTGATTGGCTGCCTCCTGCACCCTGGGCATATGCCCTTGATGGGAATCGAACCTTGGACCCTTAATCCGCAGGTCGATGCTCTCTATCCACTGTGCCAAACCGGCTAGGGCTTAAAAGCTTTTTATACAGCTACCAAACAATGCTCTAGAAAGATTTTACTAAGTTCTATCATGATCCAAAGGATACAGTAATTGGAAAAAAACAACAACAAAAAAAACTCTGCCATTTTGACAGGTGTCATGTGGTATCTTAAGAAGTCTTACATAAGCCGAGACCGGTGTGGCTCAGTGGATAGAGCATTGGCCTGCAGACTGAAAGAAGTCTTACATGGCCGAAACTGGTTTGGATCAGTGGTAGAGCGTCGGTCTGCTGACTGAAAGGTCCCAGGTTCGATTCCGGTCAGGGGCATGTACGTTGGTTGCGGGCACATCCCCGGTAGGGGGTGTGCAAGAGGCAGCTGGTCTGTTTCTCTCTCATTGACGTTTCTAGCTCTCTCCCTTCCTCTCTGTAAAAATCAATAAAATATATTAAAAAAAAAAAAGTCTTACATGTTTGTTGATCGGTATGGCAAAATATTCAGAAGATTGATCTAGCCCGTTTGGCTCAGTGGATAGAGTGAGAAGGGCCTCCGGACTGAAGGGTGCAGGTTTAATTCCCCCCAACCTGCACATGCCTACGTTATAGGCCCCATCCCCTGTAAGGGACGTGGAGGAGGCAGCCAATCAATTATTCCCTCTCATCATTGATGTTTCTCTCTCTCCCTCTCCCTTCTTCTCTGAAATAAAAAATACATTACAAAAAATATTCAGAAGATTGAAATATTGGTTTAGTGCAATGAAAAACACACACAGATACACAAAAGTATGAATCACAGCTTGTGAATGCACGAGTTACCCTGGTTGGGTAACTTCTCAGGTCCCACCTTTTTGTCTGTGAAATGGGGATCAGTTCTATTTTGAAGTGTTTTGAAGTATATGATATCTATATGCTGGAAATTATGACAATTATTATGATGGCTTTTCTAATGCAAAATAACTGCGCTGTGGCACAGGCATCTAAAAAACAGACTGTAGGGTAGTTGGCTTGTTTGTTTGAAGCAACTAAGACACTATTTCTGGCATTTCCACCATCCCACTCCAATCCCTTGCCTCCTCCCCCTCCTGCGCGGCGGTGGCGTCGCCATGGCAATAAGCACGCGCCCAAGCACAATTCTCTGGCAGTTGCTGACCGCGGCGCTTACTGGCCTTGGTCCTGCGACTCCGAGGCGCTTCCCCCTCTCGCCGGTGCCTACGGGCCAGGGGCTGAGGAGCAGCATGGCCAAGGCGGCGGCCTCTTCGCCGCTCGAGGACCTGGATCTGAGCGGAGAGGAGGTCCAGCGGCTCACCTCCGCCTTCCAGGACCCGGAGTTCCGGCGACTCTTTTCCGAGTACGCCGAGGAGCTCACGGACCCCGAGAACCGGCGGCGCTACGAAGCGGAGATCACGGCGCTGGAGCGTGAGCGCGGAGTGGAGGTGCGGTTCGTGCACCCGGAGCCCGGCCACGTGCTGCGCACCAGCCTGGACGGGGCGCGGCGCTGCTTCGTGAACGTGTGCGGCAACGCGCTGGTGGGCCCGCCCGCCGGCCGGCCCGGCCCCGGGGGCGCCGGCAGCCAGTGGTCTCTGCCGCACAGCCTGGCGCCCGGCCGCGAGTACGCCGGGGCCCGCGGCTCCCGCTACACCGTCTACGACGTGGTCTTCCACCCCGACGCGCTGGCGCGGGCCCGGCGCCACGAGCGCTTCCGCCAGATGCTGAACGCCACGGCGCTGGAGGCCGTGGAGAGGCAGTTCGGCGTGAAGCTGGACCACAGGAACGCCAAAACCCTCAAGATCAAGTACAAGGGGACTCCGGAGGCCGCGGTGCTGCGCACGCCCCTCCCCGGGGGCGCCCCGGCCCGGCCCGAGGGGGGGCTGGAGAGCTCTTTCCCCGACTTCCCCTACCCCTACCGCAGCCCGGCCGCCCCGGCCCCCGCGCGGCCCCCGCCCTCCGCGCCGGAGGCGGCCCCACAGCCCGCCCCCACGGAGCCCCGCCACAGGGTGGTGCAGCGCCACCGCGTGGACCTGCAGGACTACCGCTGCTCCCGGGACTCGGCGCCCAGCCCGGTGCCCCAGGAGCTGGTGGTCACCATCGAGCTGCCGCTCCTGCGCTCGGCCGAGCAGGCGGCGCTGGAGGTGACGGGAAAGCTGCTGTGTCTGGACTCGAGGAACCCCGACTACCGGCTGCGGCTCTCGCTCCCGTACCCGGTGGACGACAGCCGCGGCAGGGCGCAGTTCAACAGGGCGCGGCGGCAGCTGGTGGTCACGCTGCCCGTGGAGCGGCCCGTGGAGCGGCCCGTGGAGCGGCCCGTGGAGCGGCCCGTGGAGCGGCCCGTGGAGCGGCCCGTGGAGCGGCCCGTGGAGCGGCCCGTGGCGCCGGGACCCGCCGCGGCGGGCACTTCCGCCCGCAGCGGAGACGCGGGCCCGGCGGGGGGCCGTCCCGGGGGAGAGGACGCCGGGACCGCCACCCCGGAGGCCGCCGGGGAGGAACTTGTCTCCGAACCGGAAGGGGACTTCGGTGGGCGAGCGGTGGCTCCTTCCGGTGCCGAGAAGCCGCTTCCCGGAACTGGGAGCGCGGCCGGGGCCCTCGCCAGGGGCCCTTCCGCCGGAAGGCGTGTGAGCGGAGATCTGAGCGGAGGGAGCCGCGGGGCCGGGGAGGACTCCGGAGGGGCGCCTTCTGCTCCAGCCATGGGCGGCCCCGGGACGGCCCGCGGGCGGCCTCGCTGTCCTCCGCTGCAGTGTCGTCAGGATGAAGAATCCCTGACGCTGCTCATTCAAGTGCCTCGGATCCAGCCGCAAAGCCTTCAAGGGGATGTGAGCTCCCTCCGCTACCAATTGTGCTTCTCCACCCAAGACTTAGTTTATTATTCCTTCTTTTTGCAGTTTGCTCCAGAAAATAAATTGAGTATCAAAGAACCAGTGGTTAGCATCTCTTCAAACAATGCAGTAATAGAACTGGCCAAATCTTCAGAATGCTGTGGACATTGGAGAGAGTGGTATTATGGTTTAAACAACGATTCTTTGGAGGTAACAGTTCTTTCTTGAGTCTTAGTATTTGAAATATTCCATCTACTTTCAAAATTACAGCCCCTTAGTTCATTAGAACTTCTCTCGAAATTACTTGAAGTTAATACACGTGATGAAAGATGTCAGTGCACGTTAAAGGCACTCTGGAAAACACACACACACACACACACACACACACACCTTCAAAATTGTCCTTACTGCATTTTCCCCCTGGAATCCATTGACTGAGGAGGACCTCTCAGATTGTATGCTTTCTTCTGGGCAGAAGGGCTATAACTTTAGTCATATTCTCAAAGCGTTGATGACCAATTAGAGTTTGAGAAGCACTCTGTTAGGGCCATATTTTAAGTTGGTAATATTGTCCAACCTTAGAAAATAAACAGCTTACTTCCAGAGAGCAAAAGTCATTTAGCGAGGTGTCAATCTAAATTCCCTGCCATTGCGACCACATAGTTATGCTGCTTGATTTTAGTGGCTGATTTTGGTAGGGTTGTCCTCAGGTGGTTATATTGAAATTACATGTGTTTTTGCATCTGTTTTAATCATCTAGTATTTTGCACAGTGGCTGGCATTTAACAGTGTAATATAAACTACGGGCAAGTGCTGAAAAAATTAAATTTGAAGTTCTAAAGAACTTGGCAAACTCAAAAATGAACAATTAGTGGTTTTGATTGATGTCTGTATCAGTGTCAAGGTAAATTTTAAAGCTCTTTTAAAATATTCAAGGGTTTAATTCCCAAAAACAACACAAATTGCACAGATTATAATTTAAATTATATTAAAAATTAAACCTGCCAGAAATTTCCACTTCTTCCCCATTGTTTTTCTAGAAACTTACTAAATTACATTTACATTTTATGAGGGATATCTTCTGTGAGAAGTGGTCAATTTGAAAGCCTCTAAAAGTGATGAAGTAACTGAACACCAGCCAGGGCTAGGTGAAATACTTTGTGATAATATAAAATAGGAAACTGACTATCTGTTTATGTCATTTGAAGGGAAAATTTAGGAAAGGGCAGTCCTTTTCCTGTAATTGTCTTAATAAATGTGAAAATAGCAATATGGGAAGAAAGCTTTGCTGACAAGCAGTTGAGAAAATACTAAAGAATATATTTTAATCTGATTTGCTAGTATGATAACATTATTTTAACAAAGAAACCAAACAAAAATGAGATTATGGTGACTGTGTCGTATCTTTGAAGCCTAAAATAAATTTATAATTTCTTCATTAATAATCACATTTCCTAAGGCTGACAGAATCATAATGTTGTTGTTTTTTTATTTTACAGTTCACTGTCACTGGACCATGTTCTTACTAAATTTCTAAAACATCACAAAAGTAGCCCTGGCTGGTGTTCAGTTGGTTGGGAAAGGGTGGGGGCATGCAGGAGGCAGCCAATCCATGTTTCACTCTTCACTCTCACATAGATGCTTCCCTCTCACTCTCCCTTCCACTTTCTTGAAAATTAATAAATAAGGAAAAATCACAAGAGTAGTGAGTAGATGGGTAGATAGATAATATATTACACATTATATGAAAATAATTATAATGTAAGGTTGATTTGTGGCTATCCAGTTCACAATTGTTACTTTACACATAAACAAGTACAACATATATTTATATAAGCCTTAAATATTTACTGGGAATTTTTCTAAAGCTTTAGGACCACTGAACACAGTATCTTTTATAGTAAAATCAGCTATCAGAATGTGAAGATAATTTTCTGCAAATTGTATTTTAGTCATAACTATTTTAAATACATATTATTTTTCCTTGGGTAAATTTAACACTAAACTATTTGGTATATATCTTTACAATTAATGTGTCTTTTCCAGAGACAGGAAACTTAGAAATGCTTTTTATGGGGTATCTTTACAATACAGTGTTATTCTGGATCTACAAATAATAGCAAGGCAAATTACTCTAAAAATTTTATTTTTGTTCCTAGGATTCCCTTGTTTGGTAGATGTTCCCAAGTTCAAACACTGTTTAATAGAAGGAAACCTAAAACTTGTCTCTTTCATATTTTCTTTCCTCATTTTGACTAAATAATGAACTTATTAAATTTATGTATATGAAAGTACAGAGAAAAATACTTTTACTTTGGGTAACAATGAACTTATTTTATGAATATAGTTATACTTTTAATGCCCTAACAATATTCCTGTATTCGCTTGACATAAATATGAAGAAATGGCTTTGTGTTTGGGATTTTTGTGAATGTGCTTTTTGCATTTCCTAATAGTTCGGAAAACTATCTCATTCTTATAAGTAGCTATATGCTGGAGTCACACTGGATTATCTTATTGCTTAAAAGTAAAATATGCTTCTTTTACATAAAATATTACACTTAGCTCTTACCTGAACAAGAACTAAAAGACAAACTGTTCACACAAAATTTTAATAGAGCCTGTCGTATATTTCTTGGCTGACTCATTAAGAAGTGTTGTAAGCCCTAGCCAGTTTGGCACAGTGGACACTGTTGGCCTTAAGACTAAAGGGTTCCAGGTTCAATTCTGATTAAGGGCACATAGCTTGGTTGCAGGCTCCTCCTTGGCCCAGGCCCTGGTCCAGGCTATGCAGGAAGCAACCAATCAATGACTTTCTCTCACATCAATATTTCTTTCTCTTTCCCTCTCTCTTCAAAAATATCATCAAGAAAAAAAGGAGGTTATATATTTCTCATAAAATATTAAGAGAAAAAAATTTAAAAATATAATTTTTAATTTAGATTATCTAAGATAAAACATACCTAGATCAATAGAGACTAAGAGTAACTGAACTTTTTCTTTTAGGTATGTACTCTTGCTATTTTTAAAAATATATTTTTACTGATTTCAAAGAGAAAAAGAGAGGGAGAGAGAGGTAAATACATCAGTGATGACAGAGAACCACTGATAGCTGCTTCCTGCACAACCCCCACTGGAGATTGAGGCATGTACCCTGAACAGGAATTAAACCATGACCTCCTGGTTCATAGATGGACGCTCAACCAGAGCCATGCTGGCTGGGCACTCTTGCTGTGTACAGACTGTTTTCTTTTGCCAAAAAAGCATAGGAATAACAGATATTTTAAAAGTATAATCCTGAACTATGTGAGAACTTTTATGAGTTGTTTTTATGTAACACGGTGAATTATGACCAATAAAACAGATGTTTTTTTATTTTAGGAAAGGTTATTTGTCAATGAAGAAAATGTCAATGAATTTCTTGAAGAGGTCCTGAGCACTCCATTTCAACAGACAATACCCCTAACTTCACCGTTAATTGAAGTTCTTCAGGTTACTGATAGTAAGATTCAAATTCACACAGAGGTAAGGATTTTAATGGCCTTATAGAATAGTGACTTAGGACAAGGTCAAAGCCTAATGAATAACTTAAATTTTTGATGTTGAAACTTTCAGCTAAGTGTACATAATGACTGGGTAGAGGAATAGAGTTTTTTACATGCATTTCACTATGTGCTAAACACTCTGCAATTCATTTTCATATATATTATCTAATTTAATCCGAAAATAAATGTCGAATGAGGAATAGAGAAAAACTGACATTTGGGAAGTTAGTCCAGGGACTATGGTAACTATGTCATACAGTTTGTTCTTTCTTTCTAGTTGAATCCTAAAAGTTTGGTCATTTTTAGTCTTCAGTATTGAATACAGAAATAACTAGCACAATTGGCATTTATGAATTGTGGGGGAAAGTGGCTCTGAATCACAGAAATTCAAGAAAATTCAAGAATGCCCTAGTAAGAAAGACTGTTAAAGGGTTATAAGCCATTTTTTTGTCCTGAGGGAGATGAGTCATTGAAACGGTTACCAGAAAATTAAGACCAGGTTTGCACTGTCACTAAATGACGGAGCGTGTGGAAGATATGTAGGATAACTGAGGGGAAAGAAGCCTGTCTGCAGGTCTACAAGGGTTCCTCCCTCACAACTTAAAAAATCTTCCCAATGGTACAACAATTTAATTATCTATTTATTTCAAAGAATAACTTGTTGTTTCTCTTGACATAGTTGCAAGAATGTAGTAACTCTGAACAGCTTCATGAAAAGGAAGAAAAAGTCAACGAAGGAAGTCATCCAACTAAAAAAAACATAGAACATCCTACCACCTCAACAACTGCTTCTGATTCATCTGTAGTACAAGAAATAGACAGTTGTGGTTCAGTTGAATACTTGCAACAAGAGTCTCTTGATGTGTCCCAAATGTTATTTGGAAAGTCTCAGCAACCCAAGTTAAAAACAGAACCTGAATTTGTAAAAGAAAAAAGTGCTATTTACTCAAGTGAGGAGAAAGATAATTTAAAAGAATCGGTAATGACTAAAGAGGAAGAATTAACAGTTCAGAATATACCTGGTTTTGACAACATACAAGAAACCAATATGGAGGATGGTAGTGTGCAGATTATTAAAGATCATGTGACTCATTGTGCATTCAGTTTTCAGAATTCTTTGCTATATGACTTGGATTAATTCTTCAGACTTTAAGAGCAGAAAATTTTTGGACTTAAATTCTATTTCTGTAAAACCAAAGATATTCAAGAAAGTATATTTTGGATTTAATATAGGTATTCTGTTTACTCTTTAAAAACTGAAGATATTTATTCAAGAAATTAAAATGTGCAATTTTTATTCTAATGGGGAGACTGGAGATATTTTTTTGCATGTAGAGTTTATACAGTTTCAGGGAGATAAGTTTTGTCATTCCTCTGAGAGAAGTATATTCTTTCCAAGAGTTAAACACTTAGTTTTAATATAACCTGTATATATTTACTTAGGTGTTTGTTTTCAGCTTCTTTTGCTTACTGTTACACTTAATAAAGTTTCAAGATACTAAGTTGTGTCTGTCACAAAAAGCAACTCTCAAGAATGTAACTAGAAGTATGAGTTACATTTGTAAGGGGGACAGAATCTCAAAACTGTTTAGAAATATCACTAAGATGTATTTATGCTTGAAATAGAGATTCTTAGATGAAAGAACTTTATTAACCAATATTAATAATTCAAATAATGATATAGATACACTGAAATTTATTATTTTTGCTTCATTTTACTGTTCTCATCTGTCACCAAAAAATATATATATTTAATACAGGTTAATTAGTAATGACTATAAGGCGGCAGCAGGTAATGTATCTGTGGCTAAGTTATTAATTTTGTGGAATAGTATTTGTATTTGAGATCAGAAGAAAATCCTAATAGATTTTTTTCTCAAAATCATTTTTAGGACAGGATGAAAGAAAATATAGGAAGGAAAATATCTGTTGACCTAATCTCTGACCCCAAAGGCCATAACCTGAGGCATTTGTTCCAAAAACAGCTACCAATTCAAACTTCTGGCTTTACCTTAGTTCTGGAAATTACCTGGTATTTTTAGTCCTTTGAACTGGGGAGGTCAGATCAGAACACCAAAAGCTGTTTTTTCTTTACATTTATAATCTTAGTAAAGTCTGGAACACTGGGCTGAGAACAATATAAATGTGGCTAGCTCACAAAACAGAACTATTTGCCCCAACTTAGATGACCAGATGCATTTTCCAACTACAAATGAATCTTACCGGTAATTTGAGGCAGTAATTTTGCAAATGTCCACTTAACACAATTTTCGTAGATTGAAATAATTGTAATAACTACACAGAAATTAGTCTATTAATTTTTGATTGAACTGAATCGTATACTGTTAAGGAAAACTTTTACATTAAACATGGTAAACATGGAGTAAATTTTAAGCCTGTTTACTATTATTTACTGTATCTGTCCTTTTAAAAAATATGACTTCAGTTAAAATAAAGATGACACTAGAACATGTTTCACTTTGGCATGACTAAACTTTGTATCATTTCTGGCTGTATTTCACAGCAGCTTTTTATTGTTCATTATCTATGTCTGACTAGTTTCTTTCAAAGGGAATACATTGTCAAGAGCTGGGTTTTCTTTATTATTTCAAATTCAACTTACAAACAGTAAACATGAAGATGTAATGCTAACTTTAAAACTTCTAGAATGTCTACTGAATTTTGGTGTAAAGAGTAATCAAAATTTATTCTGCAAAGTGATTAGGAACCTTTTTATGCAAAAACGAGTATTTTATTTTGGCAGACTAAAAGAAAAAAAAAACAAAACCACTGTTTTTCTACATTGAGGTGAAAACAGTGTTAAAATTTATCAATCAAATACATTCCAAAAGAAAATGTGCTCTATGAAGGTTCCAAAGCACAGGCAAATCTTAATACAATTATACAGGAATCTGTAATACTGAAATTGACTCTGTTTTGACAGGGTGTTTAACAAACATAATTTCTGAATTATAAAACCAGCCAAGCAATCTCTTCCTAGTAACTGTGTGGAGAGTGAAACTGGGCTTGTTCCATTAATACTTATTTCATTGTAATACTTCCTACTGCTATGTCATTAAGTAAATTTAAGTAAATTTTGCTGTACTTAAGTTTTGAAAGTGGAAAAGTGTACAAAGTTCCAGGTAAAAAGATTAATAGATGCAATTTAAATAAAATTTCCCCTCTTCTCTCAGTAATGATTACCTTTCCCAGATACAGATTGAGCTTTAAAACCCAACTCCCAAAATGAAAATTTGTATTTTAAATCTTAATCAGACTTAAAAGGAAAAGATTACTATAATTGGATACCTTTTACAATAATTGTTTTTTCGTATTAAAGCAGAAATCAATCCCTAAACTCCTTTATTCAATTGTCTTTCCTGTTGGGACAAATATCAAAAATAGAAGACTGTCACCTTTTGTAACTGTGATTTTTTCATTGCAGTCTTCTATAACTTTTACAGAGTTCGTGGTCTCTAATATCTCCCCACCCTCCATTTTTCCTAGGTGGAGAAATGGGTGCCATAAACTTTTCACTGATAGATAGAGTTTCTGGGAACATGTACTGTTTGTTACTATTTAAGAGTGACTCAATTTGGGCACTCTGGGTGGATGGTCTACAGGTTTTCTTGTGGTGCATACCACAGTCTCCAGCATGAAAAATCCTAGGTACCTGAGGAACCAGCACTTTCCAGAATTTTGGAAGACAAGATACAGTCAAATACTGAAGAGTCCAGTCCCAGTTATAATCATCATAAGTACAGAAAGTGTCTGTGCAATCGATCAGCTTATGATAAGCATCCCGGGTCAAGGCAAGACCCATATTGTGCTCTGTGGATTTCCAAGTTTTCACATCTACCTTGTCAGCAATGCCAGAGAAACTTCGACTGGCAGTATAGGTTCCCAGAGAGAGAACATCACACTCAGGACACTCTTGCTGCTGTAATTTCCTCATTTTTTTGAAAACATGGTAAAAGTCTGGAGCTAAGTAGTGATCCTCCTCTAGGAAAAGTATGAGGCCAGCATAATCTCGAAGAACTTTGACCCTTTCCCATACAAAATGCAGCTTCCACCACCAGTGGTGTTTGGTTTGGGAGAACTTGGCCTCTCTATAATGGCCAAAGGAATCAGGATACTCAGCATTAATGCATCCCATCTTCAAAGCCGAATCCTTCTCCAGATCTCTGGGGCAATCTCTGGGGTCACTGCCCGGAAACTCGTTGGGGTACAACTGAATGCTGAAAGGAAAGAATACCTGCAGAACTGGGCAGAAATCCACCCCAGCGATCAGCTGATTGATCTCTGTTGACCAGAAGTCATGGCTAAAGATGACGAGGACGTTGTCAATGCCCTGGGCTTTTCGAAGTGAGTCCAGCAACAGTTTGAGGTAATCTGGCCGGTTATGCACCTGGACCACCAGCACCAGCTCTCGGGGGGGCCAGGAGCCGGCCTTCTCTACATTCCTCAGCGTCTGGTCGAAGTTAAGCTGGTACACCAGGGACCGGTACCGCAGCGTCAGGTTGTCCGCCTCGGGCAGCGGGGCCGCCGCGACCAGCGGGGCCGCCGACTCGTTGGAGACCCGGCGGAGGTCCACGGAGCCGGCGGGATGGTCCCCGCCCCGGCCTCCCGCACCCCGCGCGGGCTCGGCGTCCAGCAGCGGCGGGGCGAGGGCCTCGCTCTTCCTTTGTCGCCCATTGCTGCTCCAGAGGACGAAGCCGCAGGCGGCCACCACGAGCGTCAGGATGAGCACCTTCCGCTTGTAGATGCGGAACCTCATGGTCTCCGGGGCCGGGAGCGCGGGCGGGCGGGAGCGAAGGAGCTAGCGGCTTCTGCACGGAAGGGGCGGGCGGGCGGCGGCCGTCGCGTTGGCCTGTAGCAGTCGAACTTGGCCCCCGCGGCGGCCCAGGCTAACTCATCCCCGGCCCCGGGGGTCCCGGGACCCGCAGGCTCTCAGCCTCCCCGCGCCGCCTGGCTCCGCTCATCCTCGTCGGGCAGCGGCAGCGAGAGACCCCGCCGCTAGGGACCGGGGCTCGGGGTGGCCTCTGTCCTCTCCATTCAACACGGGTCCCAGCAGGAGCCCGCGCGGCCCGCCGCACCAGCTTCTTTACCTGCGCCTCCAGCGGCCCGGCGTCCTCGGCGCTCTCATCCTCCCGCGGCCACGGACGGCCGAGCCCGAGCAACGTAAGCCGCACCGCCCCGGCGGCGCCCGCTCTGACAACTGCGACTGGCCCGCGAGCGCCCGGGGCCTCGGGCCCACACGCTCCGCCCCGCCCCGGGGCCGCTGGTTGGAGCTTCCGTGACGCCGGCGGAGGTGCGCGGCCTGCGCCGCCCGTTGCCTATTGGCCCACGGCCCTGTCGCTCAGGGCTCGGTCCCTACTTCCGCTTCTTTCCTCCATTTCCTGTAGGCGCCGGCCGAGCGGAGCGAAGCGGGGAGTGAGGTCTGCGATTTTCCCGGTAAGCTAAGGTCAGGCTGTAGGGCGCCCGCGGGGGCCTCGAGTGCCCAGAATCCGGGGTGGAGTAGGCCCTCGTAGGAAAGGAGGGAGGGACCCGCTGCCTTGGCTCGAGAGAGTTCGAGAGCGGGCTTCTGTCTCCGGAAAGGGGGTCACGCATGGCGCTGCTGGGCCGGGAGGCACTGGATAAGGACACGTCAGCCTCGGGGCGGCTGGGGGTGACGGCGCTCGGTACTCCGGGGCGGAAACGCGAACCACTCCTGCGGTTTTCAGAGAAGGAACGGGCCGCTGGGCTCCACGCGCACGGAACCGGGCAGGCCCAGAAGCTAGAACGCGGAAGGGGTGCGAGGAGTCGACGAAAAGAAACTGGCCTTGGCCCTCCCTGCGGTAGAAAATTAGCCAATCATCACTACGCTCCTCTTTTTACCAGCCACAGTAAATTAAGTCTCCTTTATACGCTTTCGCTATATTTTTAGTGAGTCTCATTCTAGAAGTGTGCTAGTGATTTAAGCATTCCAAAGAGAGTAGTTGGTGGATTTATACATTACTGATTTATGTTATTTTCCTATAAATACTTATAAAATACTTTTACTTACCAAAATGTTTTAACAGTTATATTTTAAATATCTCAACAGTTTCCATCGTACAGACAGCTCTACTGCCAAGATGGTCAATGTGCCTAAAACCCGAAGGACTTTCTGTAAGAAGTGTGGGAAGCATCAGCCTCACAAAGTGACCCAGTATAAGAAGGGGAAGGATTCCCTGTATGCCCAAGGGAAGAGGCGCTACGATAGGAAGCAGAGTGGCTACGGTGGGCAGACAAAGCCGATTTTCCGAAAGAAAGCTAAAACCACAAAGAAGATTGTGCTGAGGCTTGAATGTGTAGAGCCTAACTGCAGATCAAAGAGGATGCTGGCAATCAAGAGATGCAAGCATTTTGAACTGGGCGGAGATAAGAAGAGAAAGGGCCAAGTGATCCAGTTCTAAGCTTTTATCTTTGAGAGGAAAATGTTAAAGCGGTAGAAAAATTACCTGTATGAAAATAAATGCAGTGTTACTCTTACTCATATCTTTTGTGTGTCTTTTGAAATATAAATAGAATTTCATGTTTAATGTGTTATAAATTAAGGAAATAAGAGTAAATTTGTAAGTGAATCCTCTTCAAATTATTAAACTTAGTTCCACGAAAATTGAAATTTTATATGTAAAGGCAAGAGTTTCATCTCAAACTTAATAGCAGGGAAAATATTGATATTTTTTCTGATCAATTTCAAATATATGTTGGGTGAATTTACAATTGTGCCACGCCAGCACTGTGCGGCCAGCCTAAGGGAGGGTAGTGAAGGATGAAGGAAAAAGATAAGAGAATAAGCTGGATCTAGGTGGGTATTCTGTGCCTGGCTGAGGCCACAGAACAGATCCAGACTGCAAAGCTGATGCTTTATTTATAGTCAGGGGTAAACAAGGAAATTTAAATGTTTTTGTAAGCTTCACTTGTTTTGGCAGCACTTGCTGCCCCTCCCACAGCCCATTAGCAACCCAAGAAAGATCTAGGGAGCAGTCACACGATTAAGCTTTATGCTAAGAGGGCTGTGCCCACCTAGCTAGGACTTGTTTGCTGCATTCAGTCCAGGTTTAACCCTATAACCGCTCCCTATAACAATCACGATGGATGAGCTGGTGGGAAAACTTAAGATTTTGGGAAAAAATTAGGATAAGCTAAGCCTGTATATGGCAGACTGAGTGGGGCAGGGGATCTAAGGATATAAAAAGCATACTTTGCAAATGTACTATAATAGGAACCACTGGCCACATGTAGCTACTTAAATTTAAAAGTCAGTTCCTCAGTTATACTAGCTAATTTAGTGTTCAACAGACACAGGCTAGTAGCTATACTATTGCACAACATGGATAAGAGTATTTCCCATCAGTTTTTGGACAGCACTCTAGAAGACAGTCTTGAATGTAAGGTAGGAGTTAAAAACTGGCTTTTACCTAAAATTGGGAAGCTAGTAAAACAAAAAAACCAGGAAGTGCCCAGCCAATGTGTTTCAGCGGTTGAGCACTGATCGATGAACCAGGTCAGGTTCCATTCCCAGTCAGAGCACATGTCCAGGGTGTAGCTTCCATCCCCAATAGGGGGCATGCAGGAGGCAGCCAATCAATTTATATCAGTTTCCAATGCTCATTCCCTCCCTCCTGAAATCAAAATTATCAAAACAACCATAAGTCTATGATAGCATGAACTTTTTGGTTTTATACTATAATGAAAGTTATGTGAATGTTGTTTCTCATAAGTAATAACTACACTACTTGGAATGGCCCACAATTTAAAAAAAAAAAATTTCTGGCCGAAACCGGTTTGGCTCAGTGGTAGAGCGTTGGTCTGTGGACTGAAGGGTCCCGGGTTCGATTCCGGTCAAGGGCATGTACATTGATTGCAGGCACATCCCTGGTAGGGGGTGTGCAGGAGGCAGCTGGTCAATGTTTCTCATCGATGTTTCTAGCTCTCTCCCTCTCTGTAAAAAATCAATAAAATATATTTTTTAAAAATTCTTTATGGAATTTTTCATTCAATATTGTCAGATCTTTACTGACCATGAGTAACTAAAACTGCAGATAAGGGGGGGGGGGGGGTGAGTGACTGTCCATTGAGGGGACTGAGTACATTGAGATATACTCAAATGTTATAGCTTATTGGTTATTGGGAAAGTTGAGAAGCTAAGCAGTTAAGATTGAAAACAGAATGGGATGTGGAAACTCAGAAGTGAAATTAGTTATTGCCTATGAAAGGCAAGGAAGAAACAAGTTTAGTGTCAAATGAAAAGAAAAACTGGGAAAGGACATAAGTTATGAGAAGAGGGCAAGAAATTCTGCTTTTTTATTGGCAGCTAGGGTATTTACATGGAATGGTTTGTAGATGAGTAAGACAGGCAAAGGGCTAGGGTGTAGGAGTAAAAGATGGTTAATACTTATTCCTAACCTTGACTATTATGTCTGCATTTGTTAATGAAAAAATTTTTCTACAACATAAAAGTTCAGATACACACAAATTTTAAATATGCCATAAAACATCACCTTAAGGAACCATGTTGTTTTTTTAATCCTCACCAGATATGTTTTTATTGAGTTTAGAGAGAGGATGTGAGAGATACATCATCGATTGCCTCCCAAACTTGCCCCTATCCAGGGACTGAACCTGCAACCTGAGATGTGCTCTGACTAGGAATGAAACTTTT